AGCAGTCTAAGCCTATAGCAGCATAACTACAGCGATATCTCTGTATAACCTAGCCTTTTAGATGGAGGCATGTTCGAGGCAGGGCAAGGGAGAGCCGTCTTTACCGACTGTACACTCCACCTCCCTCTACTCCCCCACTTGTCCAGATCTGGGCTAACATCAGATTTTAGTCATAGGCCTTGTCAAATAAAAAGGTTTTAAGCCTAATCCTAAAAGTAGACAGGGTGTCTGCCTCACGGACTAAAGCTGGGAGCTGGTTCCACAGGAGAGGAGCCTGATAACTAAAAGATCTGCCTCCCATCCTGTTTTTAGATATTCTGGGAACCACCAGTAAACCTGCAGTCTGAGAGCGATGTGCTCGGTTAGGAATGTGTTGAACAATCAGATCATTGATGTATGATGGAGCTTGATTATTAAGAGCTTTATATGTGAGAAAGAGGATCTTAAAATCTATTAGAAATGTTACTCATTCACTGCCAGCTGGTTTCTTATCAGAAAAGCCCTTTTTACTATTTTTTTAAGAGTCAAAGAATGTTGCGCGCTAGGATGATGTCAACACCAAAACTACCAAAAACAAAGGTAGACTCACCTCTTACATCAGGAAGAATCCGTGCATTTCAAGCGTTATCCGTTCTTTCACAATCCGTTGTCGAATTGTGATTGGCAGAAGCTTTTCTGGTTTATGCCTCACTTTTTTTTACAGCAGCGGCCCAAAACGATCTCCTAACACATGTGTCAGACACAAGGCCTGCAGGCCAGATGTGGCCCGCCGCATCATTTTATGTGACCCGCGAGATCTTCAAGTGTTTTAAAATAGGTTTATGCCACTTCAAAGCATACATTGACTATAAACTACATTTCCCATAATGTGTGGTGATCGTGTTCCCAGTGCAGTGGCAGTATTTCGCCACTAGGTTGCAGTGTATCCAAATTCGTGTTTACTTAATGCAACAAGTGAAAATAACTATCCATAAATTATCCCAAAATGCCCAGGAAGAGAAAGATTGATGCAGAAGGAAGGGTGTTTCAACAAAGATGCAACATGTATATGCTTCAAAGGGAAAAATGGTATCTTTACAGTCATTAGCGCCCATGCTACTCGCATCAGCGTCTGCAGCGGTACTGTCCTCCGCATCGGACAAACTGAAAACCCCCCTCTTACTCAGCGCAGAGTTTAATCAGTAATTTGCTGACTTTGAAGCCCAGAAATGGATTTGACGCTCAGTCATTTGTTTGCTGCTGACAGAAAGCACACCGACCAACTTCCAGACCGAGATAATTTAACTACACTCAAGTCAGTATGACTCTGTGGCTGCTGCAGTGTTTATCTTTCCACACTGATACAACTGCATGGTCCAGCTGCTCAGATTCTCTCCATGTTCAGCAGCACTAACTTATGTGAGCAACTGTTGTCTGTGATGAAGATGAACTAGACAACAAAGGAGTCTCACTGATTAACTCCTTCCTCAGCTCAGAGCCAACCCCAGAGATGCAGGAGTTTCTGGCTGGAACAGGTGAGCATCACAGTAAATTAGAATGGAGCAAACTGAGCATTCTGCTCCAAAGCATGAAAGGTAATAGGTGAGATTACATTTTCATTTAAGAGAATTACTTTTATTTATTTTTGTTGTTGGCCTGTGAGAAAAGATTTCACCTACTTTAAAACAGGAGCTGGAAACATTACAGATAGATGAATAGAATGGAAATACATAGAAAATCCCTTTATTGCCCGTCAGTGGGGAAAGCTTGGTGTCACAGCAGCAATAACATTCATTTAAGGGGCAACAAAAAAAGAGTAAAAATAAGAATAAACAAGAAAATATAAAATAGAAATACTTAAAAGATTCAAAATATTAAAAAATAAAAAAAATTTCTGAGTATACACATTTTAAGGAATACAAATATTTAAAAGAATTGAGACATAATGAGTAACGAATATCACCGATGTGCTTTATTTAAAAATTATTTGCTCATGTGTAATTTGGTTATTCCAGATTCAGTGTTACTGCAAAAATAAGTTTGTTTCCAAATGAACAAGTTCAACCACACATAGCTGTAGATAAAGGAAAATGTAGACATTTACCGTCACTTTTTAAAACATATTGAATTTGGCCCGCAACTTCGTCCTAGTTTTTCATTTCGGCCCAGTGGGAATTTGAGTTTGACACCCCTGTCCTGACACATGGATTTTCTGATTCCTGATCACGTGACATGTAACCTATGCAGATGAAAATTGGCCTTAGAGCTAGGATGTTTGTTCTCACAGTGCAGGGGCTCGTTCCGACGCCCACACAGTAAAAAAATACAAATGATGAATTTAGTCGTCATTGGCAGTGAATGAGTTAACAGGCAGCCAATGTAGGGAAGCTAAGACAGGAGAGACATGATCTGTCTTTGTAATTCTCATCGGAACTCTAGCTGCAGCATTTTGGACAAGCTGAAGACTTTTAACTACATTCTGTGGACTTCCTGAGAGTAATGAATTACAGTAATCCAGTCTTGACGTAATAAATGCATGAACTAGTTTTTCAGCATCACTCCTGGAAAGGATGCTTCTAATTTTAGCTATTCCAAAGGTGGAAGAAGGAAATCCTACAAACCTGTTTAACGTGGGATCTGAATGATTTGTCCTGGTCAAAGATAACACTAAGGTTCCTTACTTTGTTCTCGGAGACTAATTCAATGCCGTTCAGGTCATGTGATTGACTAAGCAGTTTCCTTTTTTGAATTTCCAGTCCAAAGATGAGAACTTCAGTCTTGTCTTGATTTAAAAGCAAAACTTTTAGTGTCATCCAATTTTTTATGTCTTCAAGACAAGCCTGTAATCTGTGTTACCGATCAGGTTAATCGGGGTTAATGGATAAATATAACTGAGTATCGTCAGCATAACAGTGGAAGTTTAGCCCATGCTGTCTAATAATTTTACCACTAAATACTTGAAATAATGAATAATTTTATTTGAGTGACATGTAGCATGAGTGGGCTGCACAGTGGTGCAGTGGTTAGCTCTGTTGACTTGCAGCAAGAAGGTCCTGGGTTCACATCTCAGCCTAGGGTCTTTCTGCAAGGAGTTTACATGTTCTCCCAGTGCATGTGTTTGTTCTTTCCGGTTCTATCAGCTGGGTTGGGTTGGCATTAGCTCATTGTTAGCATTAGTTTGTTGTTAGCACTAGCTACAGAAGGGTTGTTTCCAACAGTTGTAATTCCACTTTCAACCAGTAGGAGGGAGAATCAAGAACATCCATTTCCCAAGAAACCTACTGCAGAAGATCTGAGCTACTTTAAAATCAGTTTAATATTGGTTTTGCAACAAAATGCAGATTTTTTGTGCATTTAAAAATCATGTAAAACAAAAACACAGCTCAGAAGTTTAGTTTGGTTTTATTGTACAAGGACAGCACAAAGACAACATGTAAGGGCAATGCAGCCGTTGTTTTGTACAGATGTTTTCTAGCCAGAGGCCATTTTGCAAACCTAGTCCTTGGTCAGACTTTTAGAGAATCAAATAACAGCATTTATTACATACTACCACTTGCGCGTGCGTGTGCGTACCCACCCACCCACCCACACACACGCACACACACACACACACACGCACGCACGCACACGCACACACACACGCACGCGCGCGCGCACACACACACACACACACACACACACACACATTCAATGTAAATAAGTTAGTTTAGCTAAAAAGAAACATCAGTGTTGAAAAGTTTGTTGTTGTTTAAGCTATTTTTTCACCTGGAAGTTAAAAGTTGTCAAATTTGTTAACAGCTTTATTGCTGATGGTAGATTGTTCCAGATCTGAGGTCCTCTAAAGGAGAATGACGATTGATCAAATGATGTTTCATATTTCAGTGGTTTGCTGTCTCCCTTGGCTATTCCTCTGGTTGTAGCTCCTGAGCTGCTAGCTTTTACGATCAGTCTGCTCACCAGCTCTGGGACAAGGCCAATTAGACATTTGAATGTCAGTTGTATGACAGAGAGGATCATAAGGTATCAAAACTCAGGAGATTGCACTTCTGTATTTTACAGTGGTGCCACTTCATTGGTTTTGGGTCCGGAGCTTTTAGGGCTTGTTTGTACAAACACATGACAGGTTTTAAAGCAGACTGGGTTACTTGACTCCAAACAGTTGGACAGTAGAGATGAGACAGAATCATGTCATGCAAGTACAGCTGGGCAGCTATTACAGATAAGCTGAGGTTGGTCCTAATGGTTCTGGACACTTTTCTGATGTGGGACTCAAATTTAAGATGAGAATCGAAAACAACACCCAGATATTTAAACTCATCCATTTGTTGGATTTCTATCTGGTCGATGAAGACAGTGAAGCTGACGGAAATATTGTGTTTGATCGTAAAACACATGGAGACGGTTTTGCAGTAGTTCAGAGTCTGAAGGTTATTCTTGAACCAGCTAAACACTCCCACTATCTTCTTTGTGGTTACATAGATGACAGCATCATCAGCATACATTTGGCACTGGACACGTTTACAACTGTTGGGTAATTCATTGACGTATAGACAAAACAGTAATGGGCCCAGGATGGAACCTTGTGGAACTCCAGTTGTACAGTTTTAATACTTAATTTAATTCCTTTAAATTTAACACACTGTTCTGTGTTCTAGATATGATCTAAACCAGTTAATAGCTGTCTGTTTATGTAGGAGCATCTCGTGATTCTCTCTGTCAAAGGCTTTTTTTCAGATCTAAGAAAAGTGCTGCAACTACATTACCTATCTCTAAGGATCTTTTAATATTTTCGGTGAGATAGGTGGTGGCCAGTTTGGTTGAGTAACCTGAGCGAAACCCAAACTGTTCTGAATGAAGTAGCTGAATTTTGTTCAGAATTTTTGTTGAATTTTTTATAACTTTGGATATGGCCAATAAGATAGTGATTAGTCTGCAGTTACTAACTTGGTCAGAGTCACCAGATTTCAGAATTAGAGTTATGAGTACTTTTTTGAAGTTGTCTGGAAATTCCCCTTTTTGTAAACAGTAACTTTATAAGGTGGGTAATAGGGTTAACTAGAGCACTGTGTTTTTTATGAGTTCTGTGTCCTTACCAACTGTCTTTTATTTTTGAATTGTTTTAGTCAGTTTGTCTGTTAAGTCAGTTCTCACAGTGCCTTTAAATCTTTACCATCAGTTTAATGTATTTTTTGCAACAAAGTACAGAATTTTCTGAGAATTTTGGACTTCGATGTAATAAATCAAGATAAATAAACACACTGCCCAGAAGTCGGTTTTCAGTTTTCCTGGACAGTCCTCACAGTGCCTTTAAAAATGTAAAAATGACAAAAACATGATGATTTCTGGTTATTCACTTAATACATATGGGAAGAGGTGGAATTAAACACCAGTTTCTTTAAAAATCACCTTCATATTACATCCTTCTTGATGCAGGTTCCACACAGGCAGCCGAAGAGCCCGTTGATCATCTGAGCAGCACAGAGGATCGCCTGCAGGCTGCTGGTTGCCAGCAGGGTGCTGAACAACCCGATGTGAAACGGGAGGATGTCTTTGGGCGCCGTACACTTCGACCACTTTGACTTGTCCGTCAGGTAACCCGTGCCACTGTGAGAAACAGACGGTTCGGTGAGGGACACAAGTCTTTGAACCCAAAAGGTGTTATCTGAGTCGTTTCCCGCGTGTCACCTGTCTTTGAAAGGTGTCGTCCAAACAAGCAGGACCTGACACAGGGGCCCATTCTGCAGACCGAGAACAGCAACAGCAAAGCTGTACAAAGCTCCAGCCACACCCAGAGCGGCGAAGGCAATGGAGAGGAACATCTGAAAGGTTGAAACATTAACCAGAAACATCTCTGAAGCAGATAAGAATCAAAACAGAGCTGAGTTCAGGAAGAAACAAGGTAAAAAAACAGGTCCTGTTAAGTTAGTCACAGACCCCCTCCCCCCAAACATAATGTTTGTTGCATTTTCTTTTTGCTTCACTCCTGCATCAGCACCTGCTATAGTCTAATTTCCTCTGATTGATTTCATGTTTACTTCCTTTTCTGTTAAATTTACATGGAGCCGAACGTTAAATGTGTCTATTCAGGACGTCTGACTCACCCCACAGCGGTTCCCACAGCAGCCCTGTTTCCCCATCAGATGAATGTGAAGAGCAGGAATCAGCACCTGCAGCAGGACACTTGTTTAGTTTGTGTCCTAAAGTCTCACTTATTATTCCACTCTTCTGGATATCCATCCATCGTCTATAGTCGCTTGTCCACACAGGGTCGCGGGGGGCTGGTGCATATGCCCAGCAATCTCAAGGAAAGCAGCTGGGGTACACCCTGGATAGGTTGCCAGTCCATCGCAGAGCAACTCAGAGACACACAGGACAAACAGCCAAGCGCGCGCACGCACACACGCACACGCACACACACACACACACACACACACACACACACACACACACACACACACACACACACACACACACACACACACACACACACACACACACACACACACACACACACACACACACACACACACACACACACACACACACACACACACTTAAGGAAAACTCAGAGAGACCAGTCAACCTGGCAGTCTTGTTTCTGGACTGTGAGAGGAAGCCAGAGTCCCCACACATGCACAGGGAGAACATGCAAACTCCATGCAAAGACCCCAGGTTGGGATTTTAACCCAGGGCATTCTTGCTGCAAAGCAACAGCGCTAACCACTGTACCACTATGCAGCCAAAGTTCTGGATACATCACAGAAAATAGTTCCACAAAAATCATACCTTAAAACACAAAAATTACACCTAGAATTTTTTTTATCAGCTGTTGTGCTTAAAACATTCCCCAGCCACTTTTCTGAAAGATAAGATCATAACTTACCATCACTCCCCCTCCGATGAGACCCCCCATGTATTTCACCTCCTCTGTGATGTGTCCATCTTTGGCGTACTGGACGTCTCCAGCAGGAAAGAACAGCACGATGTTACAGATGATAGAAATGAGCGCCAGTGGGTACAGACTCACAGCGATGCACTGGGAGCATTTTCCGGTGCACATGTTGACCGACGGCTCTGAGATGTTTGAGCTCAGAAGGTTTCTGTTCTCTGAGGAGAAGAAAGGCTCTGCTTCACTCTCTGCTCTGACTGACTGGGACCTGCAAGGCGGAGGTGGATGTGGCTTAGCTGGAGGGAGTGGAACATCATCCTGATAACAAGAACAAACAGACTCGTGGATGGGATGCAGAAGTGACTCATCCCTGCTGTAACGATGGTACACGAGGGTCGTTTAGCTCAGTTAGAGTTGGATGTACACTTTTTGTCCTAATCATGGATAATAATAAAATAATGAAACACGGTTAGGCTGGGATGATTCTAGGCTACACCTCTGCAGTGATGCTAATAGTGGCTCCAATGTGTTTAGTCTATAGATCTTTTCAAGTGATCAAAATCAGTCCTTTTGACTGGAAATTATTTATACACTGCTTGGAACCCCCCCCCCCCCCCCCCCCCCCCCCAAAAAAAAATTAAAAAAAGGTCACACACTCTAATATTTACTTTTAGCTTTGGTTACTATTTGCTCTGGCATATTTTCAATAACCTTTTACAATATTATATCACCAGCATTTACTGTTCATTATTAGATTTATTGTTGGAGCAATTTTTCTTTTGCTGTTTTAAAATATTTAGAATAACTATATTTTTTTAATTTATTTAATTTTAACATTAGAAAAATAATTGTTCACTCACTTGTTATTGAACCAGCATTACTGAAGCGGGTCCAGAGCAGGAGAAGCAAGAAGGTGATCTTTTATGTTATTTGATTTTTGGGTTTGGATTTATTTTTAAAGAAAATCCTCCTGTGGTAAAACTAGTTAGCCTGGCCTGCCAGATTCCTCCTCTGCTTAATTCTGCACAGAGAAAGGGTCTGGGAACTCTCCTATTCTAATAACTCCGACCCCTGAGAATTCTAACCGAGCCAATCAGCGCTGAGTAGCGTACGTCACACACCATAACGCCGAGTTTGTCATAAACATGGCGACTGAAGCAGAGTTCGCTGCAGCTCTTTCCTCTGTTCTAAATGACTTGGACACGTCTTTAAAACAACAAGTAGAAGCGCTAAAAGCCTGATTAGGGCTGCTGTTGAGAACCAGCAGCAGGAGAGCCAAATGGATCGGGCCTCTGCTTAGAATTAAGGGTCAAAAATATGGCAGATGGGAATTTCTTTTAAAGATTTTGTTTATTTACCGTATTACATTTTATCACTTATAACTTTATTTACCTTATACGAGAATGTTACCTATATCTTTACAATTGTATTGTTTTTTTCCACCCTGAAGTTTAGATTTTATAGCTTTTTATTTTTCATTTATTCAGCTTAAAATTTTTATTCAATTTTGCTTCTTCCTTATTTTTGCTCTTGTTTTATCTTATCAACCAAAAAATATAAAAGAACAAAATCCCCAAAACACATGGATTTTAATACTCTTATTTTTGTTTAACTTATTTTGTTGCCTTCTGACTGATTTTACTATTTTAAAACGTTTGATTCATTCAACGTGTTGCCTAAAATGAAAACATTGTCTTCTGAAAGCTATTTTTAAATTAATAGCATAAAATGGTTAATAAATATGTCGAAAGAGCCTTGCTATCACAAAATGAATGAGAGTGTAATATAATGAAAATACATTTGTTACAGTGACTGTTAATGCATTTCTAATAAAAGCAAAAGCTATGTTTCATCTCAAACTCAGTAAAAGAAAGAAACTCCGCAATCTTCTCCCTCAGCTTTAAAACTAATATTTCATCAGGAAAATAAAAGTAACTAATCACTACACATGTTAAAACAGTTCATTTTGCATTGAGCCCATTTTCTTTTTTCTATTTGCACAGAAAAATTCTTTATCGAGCATTCTAATAATACACTGTGTTGGTTAGAAACATGAAAACTGAAACCAACTAAAACTTTCCAGCATGCGGGTGTCTTTTCACACCTCTACTCCACATGCAATCATGCTTCCTGTTAAATAAAACTCATGATAACAAAACAGTAGAATGGGGTAAAGTGAGCTAGGCAGTTTAGATGTTACACAACATTCAGCACCTGTTTGTTGCAGGTTCCACAGATGCAGCCAAAGAGGCCGTTGATGACCTCCTGAGCGGCACAGAGCAGGGCCTGCAGAACGCTGGCTACCGCCAGACTGATGAACAGTCCTATGTTGAACTGGACAACTTCTTTTGGTTCTTTGCACTGAGTCCATGTGGCATGGTTAGTCACGTAACTCAGGTCGCTGTGAAATCAGAATCACTTAAACATGAATATCTCAATAGCTGTTTGCTGTGACGGTAGCTCATATAAAGGATAGCAGTTAACTTTTTAAGATTGCCAACCATCAATAAAAAACACAAAAAGAAGCATTTTGCTATTTTCTTGGCATTGTAGCAGAGCCTGGAAGTAAAATGAAAAGAGAAATGTCTTTGGAGGTGAAGCAAAAAGCTAAAACCAGAGTGAAGTCAGCACTGCCTACACTAGTTTGAGGGTGCTAAAGGAGGCTAGAAAAATATGGACTGATGGTGACCTGGATTTGTTGCTACTGGACTTTTAAAGTGGGAGTCAAGGCATGGGTAGAAACTTATTTCATCCACACTTCCTGTTAGGAAATCACTTCTGAAAGAGGCGGCACCTGGCGGACTGAGAAAGCAGCACTGAGGATTTCTTGTTAACCGCAATCATAAGATGTTGGCAATTGGAGCTGCTTGCCTCCTTAAAAAAATGCCCTCCTCCCCATTTTTCAAGGAGGCAAGTGGCTCAGAACGCCAACGTGTCATGTCGACAGGTGAGGAGTTGAGCCAGGTGGAGGTGCAGCTCCCTCACCTGGAGACCAGTGCAGTGCAGACGTAGTAATTTGCTGACACAACACATTCTCGTTCCCAAAGCGTCGAAAACTGTCGCTGGGTGACCAAGTGTTTGCCTGAACATCAGTTTCCGACACCCGGGATAAAACGCACATTTTACTGACATTTAACCTCTAACCTATTTAACCTTCCCCTCACCCCCATCCTTAACCCTGTTGCTCATTCTAAACTTCCCATTAACTGTGTTGGAGTGGGATGTTACAACTAGGAACAAACTTTTGCATGCGCAAGAGGGTTACGGTTAGGATAAATTAGAAGTTTTTAACCTGAAGATGGAGATACAATTAACGTTTTGGGCTGAAATATTAAATTTAAAGTAAGTTGCACTAAACTGCCACACTAATGATTATTAGACAGTCATCTATACATGTTATCAGCAAAAATAAGTTAATTCAGGTGTTACTTGCACTTGAAGTAATACTATTTTTGTCCAACAGTGTGGATCTTCATACTTTGTGGCTTTTTTTTAGTATCAGTTAACTCGTGTGTAACAATTTAATTTACATATTATTTAATGAACCATAAGATGTGAGATTCTATAGGAAATATGAAATCAATCTTATGGATCTTTGGATAATTTAAACAAGAAGATTGGAACTTTTTATTGCAGGGATTATGTAACCACTTCATATTAACTCAGAGACAAAAGAAAGAGAGTCAAGTTTTTAAAGTTTAAAGATTTATTACTAAACAAATTAAAACTAGACTAACTTTAAACACTAAACACATGGTGTAACTAAGGTGAAATAAGACTGAGGATGGTGTAGTGTGAAATGTTGTTCAGAACCAGCAAATCCGGAGAAACGATTAGTTCTGATGGGAGTGAAGATGATGTTTCATGCTAAGCTTGGTTTGGAGATTTATAACACACATTAAGACACCATCTGTCGGTCTACGTACCCTTGGCGGAAGTCCCCGTCAGATCAGGAATGTTGAGGTCCAGCTTGACCTCCTCTGGCACCGAAGCCGGTAGAAAAGCAGCGGATGCTGACCAGACCAGTCTTGAGATACTTCCAGGTCACGACAGTTTATTGGCATCTAACAAGTGTCCTTTGGAGTGAGAAAGTTCATTTGCTGATTAAGTCCAAGGCTGTCCAGGCAGGATGAGAAGTCTTTGGTAAGGGGAAGATCGCTGTTGTCCACGTGTATGTTAAAATCTCCAAGCACTATTACATTAGATGAGAGTGTAGATAAATGAGTGAGCAGTACTGAGACTTCTGACAGAAATTCTTTGTGAGGTTTAGGGGGGTGGTAGACTAATCCAATGATAGTAGGGGCAGGTCCATTAAGTTTAAAAACCAAATACTTAAAGGACTTAAAATCAGAGACAGACACTGGCAAAACTTTCCAATTCTTGCGATAGATTATCGCGAGACCTCCCCCGCGAGAACTGCATGGTTTGGTGAGATAAACAATCCCGGGAGGAGTAGTGTCGTTGAGTTGGGAGACATCAGCTGGCTGCTGCCAAGTTTTTCTAAGGCACATGAAGTCAGTTCCACGGTCCTTGATGAGATTGTGAATGAAATGAGATCATGAATGAAATGACCTTTTCCAGTGAGAGAGCGGATGTTGAGAAGGCCGAAGTTGACGGTTGTGCTGTCACATCGATGAGCGTTAGCTGTCCTAGCAAGGCTGGCTAACGAGGAGTATGAATGGAGGTATGAATTCCTGTGAAGATGACGGTGAGTGGTGGACCAGAAGGAATTGACTGAAGTGGATTTGTGGTAGTAGAAGTTCCTGCGTGAGCCGCGGTGGACGTATCTCAGATGGAGAAGATGAGAGATGTCCGAGTCAAGGTGCAGTGAAGCCGGTGGAGATCCAGGCTGGTGGCGAATCCTGAGGAGCTCAGCAGCTGTGTACTGGAAGAGACAAGCAGCAGGTCGGTGGAAGATGAATGATAAAATCCAGATGAGTGCAGACCACACTTGAATACCGTTGGTCCACATAACGGAGGTTAGGATTGATATTGACATCTACAGTCAGTCAACAATCCGATAGTGCCAGTCTAACATAGACAATCAAAGTTTACCGGTGAGTAGCGGAAGCCAAACGTGCCAGCGTTCACTCAACTATAAGTCAAGTCCAAGTTGATGTTACTTGGGTTGTGAATTGTAGCCTCCGGAAATGGTCTGTTTTTCAATCTACAGGTCACCTCTTCAGTATCGGTCATTGGAGACATAAGGTTAATGTAATTGCAGACACATAGATATTTTCTTACCCACAAATCAAGAGCATCCTGTATCTCAAGAAGGCATGTGTTCTGAGGTTGTCTTGGTAATATCCCTTAACATGACACGCACCGATTGGCCACACAAACCATCCATCCATCCGTCCATCCATCCATCCATCCATTGTCTGAACCCACATTGACCACATAGGGTCACGGGGGGACTGGTGTCTATCTCCAGCGGTCAATGGCCAATCAGGTGGGGTACACCCTGGACAGAGTGCCAGTACATCGCAGGGCAACACACAAATCATAATATGAGAATATTAAAACAGAATCACTCTGGTGATTCAGCAGTCGCATTCCATCTTCTCATCATCCAGCATCAGTTCTAGAGAAAGAGCTCTGGAACGACCGCCCAGAGAGACACTCTTTTACCCTGAACAATTTTGGCAAGCTGCCAAAACCTTGCTAAAAGCTGCCTACTGCTGACACAGTTAAACGGTTCCTGCAGAACAAAGCTTATATTGTTCCGACTCCTTAAGAGTCCTCCGTCTAGATGCCGGAGAGTCGGGTGCTACGGGTATTCTACAGCCCTCGGTGCCTAGAGGTCATCCGACCTCCCTGACCTTCGGATCCACGAAGAGGGTCTCCAAGAAAGGGTGAAGTAGACACACAGATAGCGTCTGATGCCTTTTTGATAATAATCAACCCCATAGCTTAATGCAAACCAAATTCTTTTCACCCAGAACTCCAGCTTTGCTAGATATGAAAGTTCACATGCTCATAGGCACCATACATCACATTCCATCCACCTAGATCCATCCACTCACAGTAATATTAGTTAACTTGTCATGTTTTTAATCATTTGGAAAATAAATTCTTACTTTTATAAACCTGTCTCTTTCCTTGAATCAAAACGAAGTGTTTACAATCCCTGAATAAACAAAGAATCCTAGAATCTTCTGTTTAAACATCCAAAGACCAAGCAGGTTGATATTCTATATTTATATAGAGTACCACAGCTTATTGGTCATAAGTAAAGGTAATATATCAAGCTCTTAAAGCACTAAATTTACCACTCCTACAGAATGAATAAACTGATTTCAGATAATTAAGTAAACAATTTCATTGCTTTAGCTCAGCACCTATTATTAAAAGGCTTATACCATTTCCCTTCATCAGTGAAGCAAAGAGGGCCAGAAGACAAGCCGACCAGCGATACAATGAAACTGTACACGGCTCCCGCCACACCCACAGCAGCAAATACAATGGAGAAGAACATCTGCCACATTCAAACAGGAATAAATCAGAAACATTTGATCAGGATCTAAAACAAACTTTTAAACCATCAAGTTTAGGAATAAAAAAAAAAAGCTTCATTTCCTTTTTGACTAAGAATAATTTGTCTGATTTCAATGTAAAAGCTGCAAATCCTGCAAACTACATTCTACAGCAAACAGAGTGGCCAGTACAAATAGATAACCTTATTACAAGAGGATCTTCACACAGGCACTCATTGGTTTTTATATTAACTGGGTTTATGATCTCTGCATCAAAAAGGAAGCACATATTGTGCAACGATGATGCAGCGTAACACAGCAAATTATATTCTGCTTCCACCCTGAGCCTAATTTACCTGTTTTAATGTAGTTTAACTGGTAATAAGACATACTTGACGCTCCAGCCTGGAAAGAACAGTAGAGCGTTGCAGAGGATGGACATAAGCACCAGTGGGTACAGACTTATGGCAATGCAGAGGGAGCATTTTCCAGTGCACATGTCATCAGAGTAAAGAGTGACCAACTAATGTAAAACATCCTTGTTCTGTAACTTTTGCATGTTTATTCTGTGTTTTACTTCTGAATGCATTTTTAAGTTATTTTTAAACACAGCAAAGTTTTTTTTTTTTACCTTGCTTACAGTTTCGATCAGTCCTGCGATCTTCATCAGAGCTAGCCGCTAATCTTCTGTAATGGGTACCTCAGATAGTTCCTGTTTTTTTTTCTTTGTTTCCTTCAAAGCCCTAGCAGGAACATGAATAAATACCAAGATTTCTTGAAGAGTATTTTGGTGGTGGAAAAACAGAAGTTGTTAAAAGGACTTATTATTAAAATTACTTTAAGAACAGATGCACAGTGGCTCAGTTGGCAGCACTACTGCCTCTCAACATGGGTGCAGGTTTGAATCCCGGCTGTGGCTTTCAGAGTAAAGAGTGAAAACACACTCGTTCTGTAATTTGTAGCTCAGGTAGTTCCTGTTTTTTTCCTCTCTCTCCTTGAGAAGTCCTTGCATGTATAAAAAACATTTTTAATGAGTGTTTTGGTGGCAGAAAGCTGTAATTGCTAGAATGACTCGTTTATAAAAGAGCAAGTTACCACCAAATAAACCTATTTTGCTGATAAACTGTATAAATGAGTGTTTAATAGTGCTGTAGATGTGTGTAGTCAGCATTTGGGTATTTTAGTGCATCATATTAGAAATATAAATATTCTGCCCAGGGTGGCTGTCAGTCACTGCCTCTTCATGCATTTTTTTAAAACCGGAAGTGTGGATGGAGTAAAACTGGGGCCAGGAGATGACCCACACTTCAAGAACGGTTGTATGGTGGCCCAGTTGGTTGCATTGAGCCTCACGGCAAGAAGGTTGCAGATTCAAATCCCAGCTGTGGACTTTCTGCGTGGAGTTTTGGTACAAGGGTTTTGTCCAACAGATCAAAAATATGCATGCTAGGTCAACATGTCTTAATATTCCCTAAATGAGAGTATGTATGTGACTGGTTGTTTGTCCCTGTGATGGAGTGGAAACTGGTCCAGAGTGTCTCCTGCCTCTTGCCTAACAAATGCTGGAGTAAGGCACCATCTCCCCGTGACCATACTGAGAAATACGCAGATATTGCAAAAGTATCCAAGAAATTATTTGAGCTCAAATAAAGAAGCGGATCCTGTCTGCACTCAAGAGCTTATTAGTTACCCTAAAGGGGACATTTTATCCAAAAATCACCCTTTGCGTTCCATTGAGCTGCCATGTGGGTCTTTTTTTGCCTCTTTAAACACTCCAAACAATAAAAATATGGCCGCCTGTTTTTTGTCAGCATTCGATTTTAGGAATTACATGCCTCAAACCACCTTACAGTGGTGGATCTAGGATTTTTCTGAGCATGGGACCATCAAGGGGCCACAATATTTATAGAGTAAAAGTATTAAGCCTGGGGTACACAGGAAAGACTGATGCCCTGCACCACGTCACACCTGCGCCTTCATTTTTAAAAGCTACACAGGCAGCACAACGCCACATCCCAAAAGCGTTGGTCCGCACAGAGGTGCTGAAGATAGGCGCCAGTTCTGTTTCAAGTGCCATGGCGCGGCTGTTTACAACATTGTGAAGTACTTTACAACAGACGTTACGACGTTGAAAGGCTCTAGGGCACTAACCCAACCGCCAAAATATGGACGAGGAGCTTCTAAATGCTACTTCTTTACAGTATTTATGACTTTGAAGCACTATTAATCCTAAAATATTCTAATAAATAGCGGATTTACTGGATTAGTCTCACAAAACACAACAGCAAGTCTGACCACATATAAACAAAAGAATCACTTTCCGCTTCCTGTTCTCAAGTCCCGTGTGATGTTGTGACTATCACGCGATTTTCCAAGAAGTGTTCAGCGGCATAGCGAGTCCTATGTGACCATTTGACTTCTCAAAGCCGCGGCGCTTCCATTGCACAGCGCATCTGTCTTCTGTGTGCCATAGGCTTTAGTCCAACATCCTTACACACCACCTCAAGTTTTAAATAAAGAATTTTACATGCATTTTTACTGCATGCAAATGCAAAATACAAACACATACATCTTTTGAGAAATGTCAGCATTGGATATCAAAGCTTCTCAGCTAATAGAAGCCTGAGCATGGGATGGTGGCGGCGAGGCCAGCTCCAGCTTCATTTTGAAATGGCTTATTCTGGAAGGTACTGAAAATGTCTAGTATTAAACAGCTGAAATCACTTTTTGTGAGAGGGGCGTTTTGCAAACAACTTCATGAACATGTTTGGTTTGAACTATTGTAACTTTAGAAAAAACAAGTCATAACATGCCCTCTTTAACAAGTAAAATTACTGTGCTTTAAAATAATCCTGAAAATAGTAAAATACCATCATCACTAACAAGTGAAGGATCGCATTACTCAAAAAATTTAAAAATCTCTAATCTTATTTGAGAGGCCACGACTATTTTATACTTACATCATAGAAAAAAGAGCCAAGCATCTTGTTTGTGCATCAAAGAACCAGGCATTTGTTCCTGTTAGACCACACCGTGTTCAGAATGACAATAATATGCATGCTACAGATTTTATGTGAGGAGAAAACGTTTCCTGGTCAGTGTGATCACTGAGGTTAACTGTTGAGTCAAAGTAGTCACGGTTTCATGTTGCTCCCATTAAAATGTACATGCTGCCACGTTACCAGTTTGTGCCTGTTTTTGTGCCCCCTGTGAGCAGTGGCGGTTTTACCATTAGTCATATAGGTCAGCAGCCACCTGGGGCCCCCTCATTTTGGGGGGCCCCAAGCCCTGACCGCTGGCACTCCTTCTGTTAATGCTGCAATGGACTATTCCTTTAAGAGGCTGATGCACAAACAGGAAGCGATTGGTAGTAATTCCACTTCAATCCAGTTGGTGGCAGTAATGCACCAAATTGTTGTTTGCCAAGTGCCATAAGACCACAAATAAGAAGAAGAGAAAGCAGAAAAAGAAGAAGAGGCGGGAGCATTCATAACAAACACGAAGCAGTAGTCAAAACATTAAGCATGAAATGGAGTTATCCCAGTAGCTCCAATAAGAGAAAGAAGCAGCTTGCTTTAAAAAAGCTTTTATCTTCACTTCTAAAAGTGGCATTGTTTTTCAATGTAAACATCAAAAGGAAGCAGAAGAGGAAAGACAATGGAAAATGTTTAAAGAGAGGAAAACATAGACCAAAATGGAAAAAAAAAATAAACAACAAAGGCAAAAGCACAGGCGCACTGACAGGAAGAAGAAAGCAGAGCAAATGTTGAAAGCATTCAAAGGGAGAGAAAGACAGGAAAAAGAGAAGGACTAATAGAAAGGGAAAATAGCTCATGGCAGAAGGGTAGAGTTTTGCAAATCCAGTTAAAGGTAAGATTGTCAAAAATTTTGTGTAAGGGGGCCCGATGTCTGTGTTCGCCTTGGGCCCCCAAATTGCTAAATCCGCCACTGCCTGTGAGTATTTTATTTGGGAACCTTTGGACCACTCCCATACCCCACCACCCCCACTCCGGGTACTGAGCGGATCTGAGGCTCCAGCTGACCCACCATGGACACGTTTCCCGTTTTTAAAGACTTCCTGGTTGGGTTTTTAATGCCAGAAAAATGCTACGAGGAGTTTTTCGTCCGCCTTCACTTGCACGGTGAGAACTGCGGTAGTGTAATACGATCGTCCAGATGTGCAAGAGAAAAACAGGAGGAGGGGTGGAGTTTGCGCAGGTTTTAGCGCACAAACATAAAATAGAAAATAGATCTCCGCGCTTATTTTTACACCCCTTTATAAAGTCATGACTCAGCATAATTTCCTGCTTGTGTCGTCCGATACATTGGTGTTTTTAATTTATTTTACAGCCCCGTGTCTGAAGTTCGTTCTGAATAAAGTTCTCGGGTTTTGGATCATTCTGGACACGTTTCTGGGTAAGACCTGGAAAACCAAACTAACACAGTAAACAACCCGCTTAGTAGGTTTCCTGATCAAAGTCAGCAAATCAACCCATTCTACTTTTACATGATCTAGTCAGCGCAGGTAAACAAGCAGGATGTTGATCCAGCTGTGTGCAGAAAGTCAGGATTTAGGAGGGAGTTTATAAATTATTATCATGCAGCTTGACCTGGTTAGTAATAGCATCTAAATCATCTGTAAATATTTATTCTTCCTTGCATATTTTATATTTTCTCTGCATCATCATCTTGCAGCGCAGCTGCCTCAACTGCTGAAGATACTGTGGAGGAGAAGTTCAGAGGGTCTGAGTCTGAGCTCTTTCCTGCTGCAGCTTTATGCTTTCTCCTGTCCTGCTGTCTATGCCGTGGCCAACAAATTTCCATTCTTGTAAGCAAATTAGTGATAAACAAGTCAAAGATTTATTTTTCTTCCATTTTTGGAAGCAGTGAAATGAAAAGCTGCAAAGTGGGAGGCAGGCCTTTGCTGTAATTCCTGGTGGCCATCCATCCCCTAAATACCATCTTCAAAGACTGACTTGTTTTCTGTCTGTGTTTGTGACCTCCATCAGTGCCTGGGCTGACAGGCTCCTCACGCTGCCTCAGACAGCAGCAATCGTCTTCCTCATCCTGCACTATCGTGGTGAAACCCTCAGAGGTCAGCAGCTGCAAGCTTTACAGAAACATAATTTTTGAGTTGATTTGTTCGCAGGTGAACGTTTTAAATTCTCCACTACAATGTAAATAAAGAGCACCTATTGGTGCAATTTGCTGATATTTGCACTGATCATGCTTGTCACACACTGATGCAACTCAGCAATTGTGTGTACGTATTTTAAAATGTTGTGTGAGGAATTAAAAAATAGCATAACTTTTACATTTGTGTTGTGTGTATTGTGAAAGTAAGTCTTGCTTTTAATTTAATTGATTTGTTTTTCATATTTTCAGATTATTATTATTGTTTCAGTCAATTTCAGTCACAGTTGTTTTATTATAAAAATGTAACTTTAAATTATAATTCCACACATAAATCAAATGTCTGTAATATAAATAATAATTAATAAATGTACTAAAGTGTTTTCATGCAGCACTGATAACTGTTGCTTATCTGTGTGTGGAGTTTTAAACACGTCGGTCTGAAACTTTGTGTGTTTCTGTCAGGTTTGCTGCTCCTGCTGGGTTTTGCTGGGGTGATGTTCCTCCTGGCTTCATATGCAGCTGCAGCTGTTGTCTCTCTAATGGAGGCCTCCTCTGTTGCAGCTTTGATAACAAGCAAGGTGAAAGATCAGCATCTCACGTTGCGTGAAAAAGTCTGGTTTGTGACCACTTTGGGAATGTCTCATTGTGTTTCCAGGTTATTCAAGCTGCAACAAACTACCACAACAGCCACACAGGTCACCTGTCCACCGTGTCCCTCTTCCTGATGTGGATGGGCTCTCTGGGTGTTGCTGCTGTTTCTCTACAGGTTTGCAGACAGAAACAACAAAACCCAAAGCTGCCTGTTTTAAGCTATTCAGTTACGTATTTATTGACTTTGAAACTTTTTTCTTCTAGAATGATGGATCTCTTGTTGCTCTGTCTCACGTACTGTCCTCATGTCTCAGCTCTGTCCTGCTATACCAGGTCCTCTTCTACACCAGCGGCATGATCACCGATGCAAAGAAGAGGGATTAGCTAAGATTAGCATATTGTTTATTAGAAATTTTTACATTGTTATGTTCTACTGTTAAAATGTGACTCAACTGTGTGTAAAAAAAGGGGTCATGTGACTTGTTTCTGATGGGATGAGAAATGTAGTCAGTATTATAATGTGCTGTTCTCTAGTGGTTCAAGGAAGAACTACATTATCCTCACTGTTAGCAGTTTGGTGTATTGTAAGAGTTTTTAACATCACACACACACACACACACACACACACACACACACACACACACACACACACACACACACACACACACACACACACACACACACACACACACACACACACACACCACTGTCTCAGAAGTGAAAATAAAAGTGAGTCTGTTACATTTAAGAATTTGAATAACAGCTGGCTAGACATTTATTAGCTTTAATATTTGAGATTGAAGAATAAGAAAATATATTTTTAAGCAGTGTAAGATAAAATCATAAAATGCTTCAAATGATCAATAAAATGCGTTAGAGATTGAAGTTCGAGAGAAGGAAAACATTGATCAGGATAAAATTAAAGTAACACAGAGCAGTTTCCTGCTCCTTGGCCTTACTGGTTGAAAGTGGAATTACAACTGTTGTAGCTAGACAATGAGCTAACACTAACATGAGCCAAGACTTACTAAATAAGCCACAAATAAAAAAAATCCACACTGTTGGACAAAAAAAATTACTTACAATCCAGCAGCAACAAAGCTAGGTCACAATCAGCCCATGATTTCATAGCCTTTTTCAGCTTGCCAAAACTAGTGCAGGCCACGCCGATGTTTACTCTGGTTTTAGCTCTTTACTTCACCTCCAAGGACATTACTCTCTTACCTTTACTTCCAGGCTCCGCATGATGCCAACAGAAAAACAAACTTATATTTATGTTTCTTGTGCTTTTGATTAGCGATAGCAAACTGAGCTAAGTGCACAGAAAATAGCTAACAGCCGTAATGCAGGTATAAGAGTGCCCCCTAGAGCGCCTAGCCACTCCCTAAAACTGTTAAGTGCAATATCTGGCCTGTAGAGGGCTGCAGAGTGGTGTCAAATATGAAACTGGTCCCATGTCTAACCCCATAATCACTGAAATCAATGTTAAAACTCTATCTTAAAGTGTAAAAACTATTTGGTGTTACTTTAAACTGAGACCACCCAGATAATCTGAAACCGAGTCATAATCCAGCTCAGGGCTGGTAAAATTCTACAGTTTTTGTTCCATAACCCTCAGGATCATTAAACAAATGCAGCGAGAGACCTGCTCAATCATTTTAACAACCCAACCATGTATTGCTGTCATGTCATCAGAATGACCGTGTGACTACCTGATCACATTTTTGCACAGATTTGGCCTTTTAAAGGCATGTGGTCTTAAACTTTTGATCAGCTTTAAACTGCCTGTTTCAATTGAAATGTTGTTTTTAATAAATTGCTTTTTGGTCTCTCTCCTATTTCTTTCTTTTGTATATAATCCTCTATGTGTCGGTTTGTTCTACATCACATGTACCATGAGGATATTTAAGTATTTTACAACAGTTTGCAAAATGTAAAAGACACTCAGATCCAAAGTAAACAAAAAAATTTTGATTAAAAAGGCATTAGAAGTGAATTTTGTTCTTGTGATTGCATCAAATACAGTAAAAAATAAATGTTAGTAATACATAGCAAAGCATAGAATAAATGCACCATCATAAAAGTGTTATGGTGGTAGCAGCGAGCAGGGGCGGCAGCCAGGAGAGGAGTGGATTGCTGAAGCCGAACCGAATTCGTGGAGCGATTGCATAAGATTGTATAATTTTAAATAATTTATTTGCATTGAACTGCTGCACATTTGAACACCCAAGAAAATCAGGATTAATCTTTGGTACAGAAGCCTTAGTTTCCAATTAGAGGTCAAAGGTTTCCTGAAGTTCTTGACCGGGTGTGCACCCACTGCAGGGATTTTGCCCCACTCCTCCTCACAGATCTCCTCTAGATCTGTCAGGTTTTGGAGCTCTCGCTGAGCAACACAGAGTTACATCAGATATAGGCCATTTACCATTTCTACATTCCTTTGAACCTGTGGTGCCAGCTCGCTTCATGTCATTGACCAGCTCTTCCCCTGTAGTTCTGGGCTGGTTCCTCACCTCTTAATCATCAGTGATACCCCACCAGGTGAGATCTTGCATGGAGCCCCATCTGAAGGAGACTGACAATCGTATTTAGCGTCTTCCATTTTATAACAATTGCACCAACAGTTGACCTATATTTTCACCAGGCTGCTTCACAATTGGCCCCTAGCTCTTTCCAGCCTTGTGGAGGTCCACATTTTTGTCTCTGGTGTCTTTTGACAGCTCGCTGGTCATGCCCAAGGTGGAAGCTGGAGTCTGACTGACTATGGGGTGGACAGGTGACTTAACAAGCTCAGACAGGTGCAACAACTATAAATTATTACATGAAGTGAAGATGGACCTTTTAAAGGCAGAGTAACAGGTCTTTGAGATCAGAATTCTTGCTGATTACCAGATGTTCAAATACTTATGTGCAGCAGTGCAACACAAAAAAATTATTTCAAAATCAATGGGATTTCCTGAAAACATTTTTATGCTTTCTTAGTGAGAACACATCTACATTTCAAACCCCTCCATGATTTTTAAGCGAGAGAACTTGCAGAATTGCGGACTTGTGTTCTTCACTTTAAATTATGACAACAATGTGCAGAAAAAGCACTTTAAAAACTTAAAGGTCAACTTCATTAAAAAAAACTATTTTTAATGATTCCTGATCATTTTCCACGCAGGCTGAACATGAAAATGTTCTCCTACACTAATCTCCTGCATTCGCTTCTGATAGAAAATAGATGGTGAAACACTAGGATTAGAAAATCCTCACACTGTGATGTCACACTGTGAATTTGCATTCATGGCCTCGCCCACCTTAGCTCGTGCACGCCCACAGGAAAGCTTTTTTCAAATTTTTACTGCTAGGAGAGAGCGCGAAGAGTGTGTTGGTGATAGTGACTTTGCAACATGGCTGAAGGCGATTTGTTAGTCAATCAGAAGTGAGATGTGTGCGTTTCATTAATAATAATGAGTAATCCTGCTGTTTTCAGCCCACTTATGCACCAGCAAACGTCTGAACAGAAGCATCATAGCTTTTTAAAAATGATTCATAAGGCATCGATTTACACTAGAGAACTCTGTAAATGTACTGAATAAACGAGTATATCACATATTAAAGCAAACTCTGACCCTGACTCTGAAACAGGGAGGCTGGCAGGCAAAATACACACACACACACGCACACACACACACGTACACAGATACCCATGTTTTACTACAGCTCTGACTAGGTCTTTTTTTGCTGTTTCCTTCCATTATCTGTTCATATATATATATATATATGTATATATATATATATATATATATATATATATATATATATATATATATATAACTGAGCTTTAGTTTTATTTTTTTATATATAAAAAAGTTTAGTTTCATGTGTTCAGCTCCTCTTGACTCAAGCCTGCATTTTCACTCCATCTAAACTTCACTTTATTCATCCATCCATCCATTTTCAGCCGCTTATCCGGGGTCGGGTCGCGGAGGCAGCAGGGAGGCCCAGACTTCCCTCTCCCCAGCCACTTGGGCCAGCTCCTCTGGGGAATCCTAAGGCGTTTCCTGGCCAGCAGTGAGACATAGTCCCTTCAGCATGTCCTAGGTCTTCTTTTACGTCTTCCTCCAGTTGAACGTGCCCAGAAAACCTCACCAGGGAGGCGCCCAGGAGGCATCCTAACCAGGTGCCTCCTTTCACTTAATGACTTGTAGCATTTTTAATGCTTGTATGTCTAAAAAAATATGTGAATTAACTCCTGATTGTGTTTTAAATACATTCAGGTACTCCAGGTGAAGGCTGGGTATCATGAGATAAAATTGTATTTTTTCTGTGCAGCTGAACTAAAAGAAACAACAATAAAACGCATCACTCTTTGAACCAGTAAAAAGTCAGAGTTTATTAGCTCTTCCTGTCAGATCCACGTGATTAAACAGCTGTTTTTTGTAACATCCATAAAAGGTTCCTGTGTAACATTCATCAACACTGCCATTTTCTCACAACCAGACGTTTTAACACAGGAAACATCTGCACATCAGTAGAGCATATGTTACATTTTATTGCATCATCAACACTCTATGATGTTAGAATATCCCAAAACATGCATCTGAGCTCATTGTTAATTCACTTAAAGCATCTTTAAAAATAACCTAAAACAGACGTATCATACTTTTGAAACTAGTTGGCACAATTTCCTGAGTTAGTCTTGAAACATGTGATCGGCTTTGGTCAGAGGATTGCTTTTCTACCTCCCTTCATCCTCACACATCACTCCCCTTTTGTTTTGACTGTGTCCCTTTGAGTGGGAAAACACACGTCAAGCATCTAAATGAGTCATTTCTTCTTGCTTTCCATACAAATTATTGCATTATTAGTGACTTTAGAGCCAAAATACTCTAATAAAGACAAAAAGTCATATTTTCATCATATTTCCCCTCTAAAATGATAGTTAACATCATAGCACAGCTAAAGTAGAGACAGCATGTTGGCACACAGGTGTTGCTGTCATTGGCACAGATACTTCTGTTGGTGTAGATCAGAGCGCCGGCCGCTGCAGGGACGTTTTATTTACTAAACAAAATAATCTGCTCATGTAATAAAGTCATTTAGAGTATTTAGAGGCTTTACGGAACAAAAAAGGAGGAGCAGCGGCCCTTGCTGTAGATGAATCGTCTCTGAGACGACAGACATCTTCCTGCTGCACGACGTCAGTCATGTTTCTGGTATTCGGATGTGGGTTTCTGTGGAGAGATGAGCAACTAATATCTAAGCTGTCATAGATAGCTCTTAGGATGACTTAGCTCATTATTTACAAGAAGGGTAAGTATTAAAAAACCTTTACTTCCAGCAGATTAGTGCGTTTTTATTTGTGACAGCAGCTGAGCTGTCACACTGATGACCATCAATAACCTGCCGAATATTCTACCCCTGTTCTCTACCTACAGATTATGAAGAAAGCACCAAATCTCAGCTTCGTGCTCTACAACATTTTTATGTGGATGCTGAAATGACGTACTGGGCCTTATTTGTCAGTTAGAATGAGTTCTTAATGCACAGAATTATGTAAGAGGTTTTAAAAATCCCATTAAAAGTGATTCTGGTGGAACAAAATGAACTCCTGAGACCTTCAGTGACTTTTCACTGAATGTTCTCTCCTCTCTGGGATATATGAAACCATTTTCTTGCAACACTTGTGTGATTCATAAGAGGTAGTCATGTACAAAGCCTTACACAGCACCCTGATGTTTCCTACATTTCACATCCTGTTTTTCACAGTTTCAGCTTTACTTCTCTCACTGTGACGATTAAGAAATCACTAAACAGAGAAGAATGAATGAAACATTTAATGTTTCATAAATGTTTTATGGTGCAAACGTTTTAAAGCCCCATTCTGCCACTTTTACACTTTAAATAAGGTTTATTTTAAAATTCTATATACTCATCTATCATGTTCATTTTCGGAGCTGTGATGGTGTTATGGGGTCCCACATCTGTTTACAGCACTATACAGTTTCTGACCCGCAGCCCGCCGCCGGAAGTACTGACTGCGTGTTGCTTTACGGATGGGTCTCACTCTCCAAAGCAGACTGTAGAAATGTCCAAAGTCAATGCAGACTGAGCAACGCTTGATGAAATGTGTTTTGTTCGTTTCTACTTCCTTAGTAGAAATGAATGCACTGAGGGTGAATGGAGACCCATCTAAAATGACTGTCAGCAACCACGGCAGCGCTAGTCCACAGGGCGACTGCGTATATATGTCTGTGGTAGACCCGCGGTTTAGAGACTTATGGCAGATCAGAGGAATCTAAGAAAAGAAAACGAGAATGCGATAGAGTAAGAACAAAGACCAGTGTTAATGTTGGGCCCGCTTTTCCTCGCTGGAGAGATCTAGAAAAATCAGCATGTACTACGGACTCTGACCTAGCCGTGCTGCTAATGGTTATCGTGTTTGGTCGGGCCTAAAGTTGTTATACAGTCCTGATAAAACTTTATTCAATGCAAAAACACCGCTTAATGTGTTTGATTGGGCACGTGGGTTGGAAAACAGCCAGTAAACATGCCTCTGAAGCCCGGATCACACTGTGCGATCTTCGGCCATCTTAGCCAGATCTCTCACCGGGAGCATAATCGTGTAAAAAAACTGTGAATTTGAGGGTGATTTGCAAATTTGCGGTCATCCGGTCTGACCAGCTCTGCGACAGCTTTTTGAGCCGTCCCACGACCCAAATCAGCCTCTGACTCCTCTCTGCAACCGACCAATGAAAACACACCTTTGGGACGCCGTTCTGGACTTGTCACAGTGTGACATGAACAATCCTGTGTGATCCGGGCTTTACGCAGGACAGAGATTTGATTTTACGACAGTGACGTTACGCAGCAAGCCTGGAGAGGGCGACGGAGAGCATGTATCTGCAAGTTCAGGAATGGGGCTTTAAATCACCGTATTTTATTATATTTCTCTTTTCAGTCAAATGTTCTTGTAATCTTTCAAGTGTTCTTGATCAAAACTTCCTCAGGCTTTCTGATTTTCAATGTATTTTTTTTGGCTTAGGCTTTTTTCTTTCTTACAATTTCTCTTCATTAATTGACCATTTTCAAAGCTATGTTGGTCATAATGAGTAAAAAATCAGCCAAAGTCTAAAGAAATATTAAAAGAACTACAAGAAGCCAAAAGTAACACAAGACAGTCTAACCCCTTCTTTCCACTGGCTGCAAAAGCAGCGTGTAACGAAATAGCGGCGTTTTCCCTGGGAGCACATTCCCAACCGGGAAAGGTTCTGACACAAAACGGGAGTGAAAGCGTTGCACACAGCCGATCCCGAGAGGACACTAAATCATGGGAGAATTGCAACACCACGCGTGATTTCAGAGGTCAACACAATAAAAAGCACTGAGAAAGACGGCTGCAAGTCTCCAACAAGGCTTTGGTTTCTTTTCTGTTCTGTTGACATCGGCTAAAAAGTTTCACAGTAAAGGACCTACTGCACGTGACTTTTATTTAGAAAGTTACCGAATCCTTTACACTGATTTTGTGTTTGACTTCCTCTCTGGCCAGGTCTAAACTAGGGAGTTTGACGCTTTTCGGAAGCGCAATGCATAAAAAATAGACTTGAAACATAAAGTTAGCATCTCTTGGCCTCCAGAACGCTGCTGATGGAAAGGAATTCGTCCACTACAACGGTTACAGCTAATGTTTTGCACCGCCTTCACGTGCAGAGGAAAGAAGGGGAAACTCCTAAGAAGTGATATTTAAAACAATCAGGACGTTACTGCACAATAAAGGTTTAGCTTTATTTGAGCTATTGAAACTCCTACATTCCATTCATGTTCCACATGATAATTTAAAATAACGATTATAATTTCCTAGTCTTGTCAGTGACGACTTGATGAGTCAGCATCCAGTTGAGGCCAGTGAACAGGACTACTTTTGAGTTACTTCCTGTGAACTTACGACCCCTCGTGACTCACATTCATTTCAGAATGACTTGGGTTTTAGTTGGAGGTTAATCTCTCAACGACTGTGCTTGATGCTTTCCCACAAGTTAAAGTGCTGATTATTTATTATGAGAGTTTAAGTGCTCTAAAACAGCCACGAGGGTTGATGCTACACAGCATCTGTATAATTGGTGCACTTATGTCACTAAAACAATCAAAGTGCACATTTGTCAGATTAATTATTGAGCTTCAAAGTGTTTTGTTTGTTTTTTAATGTCATTCCCTTCAGATTTCAAGTGTTTCTCAGAGGAGTGTAAAAGCTAACCTTTGCTCTTTACCGAATATAAAAAAAATAACAGAGCATCTCTTGTTAACAGAGCATCTCTTGGTTTTCTCTTAACCTCACAGCTGTAAAATAATGAAAGAAGACTCATTTAACCTCTGCACTCACAACCTAATGAGTGACCCATTTTCCAGTCTCCTGCTGTTATCTGAACTTCTGGTACAGTTTACGCATTTGGTCCCAGAAGAACAGAGACAGAATGGTGTGTGGGCCCAGTCGGAAATAGGAAGCTCCCAAGCCTTTGTAGAGTCCCGTCACACCTTCCTTCTTTAGCGTTTTGGAAAAACAGTCAGTGAATCCATTATAGAGCATCCCCTGAAAGAAAAGAGTCTTTAATCAGCACAACAGAAGCTCGTGTACAGAACAAATCTGGGATCAGTCACTACTAATGGAGTCAGAGCGCTGCACTGAGGTGAAACAGAAAACTTCTCTACAGAGACAAACTCTGAGTCCTCACAGATATTTCAAGTGCCTTGGTGAACCTTAAAGGTGTGGAACATTCATTTAATCAATATATTTTCAGTGGCCTCTATTAAGTGGTACTCAGGGGACAAAAACACCGGTGCTAAAGCTAACGGTTAGCTTCTGCTAGTCGAGATGTTTTCCGCTGTTACCTAGAAGCTAAACCAACAGCCTTCCCCGTCGTGAGTAAAGATGGGTGAACGTTAAGTGATGTGACGTGACGTAGATCTGTCAGGCTTTTCTAATCCTAGCGTTTCTATTTTCCATCAGAAGCTAATGCAGGAGAAAGGTGTTCAGCCTGCATGTTAAACTCATTCATAATCAGAAATAAGAATCTAACAATGGATTGTTAACCGTAACCCTATGGAGCTAGGATTGGGACAATATTCAATGTAACTTGTACCAAGTTTTGTAACTTGGAACATGTTTCATGACATGTAACTTTGGATTCGTAACTTGTAACTTTAGTTTTCTAACTTGTAATTCTCAGTTTGTACTTGTATTTCTTGTTTTGTAACAGGAAATTTTCATTTTGTACATGTATTTTTTATTTTGTAAAATCAAACTTATTTTGCACATTTACTACTCATTTTGTAACATCAAACATTCATTCAGAAACATGAAACTTTCGGTTTTTACCTAGCAGACTTCCAAAATAAAAAAATCAATGTACAAGTTTGAAATCAAAACTCTCAAAACACACATTTCATTCTACAGGTACAAACCTCAAATCTACAGTGTTACGAATCTTTTTGTCTCAATTCTAGCGCCAGTGGGAGGAACTTGGGTGGAACCAATGAGAGCACGAGTCTTAGCTACCAATCACGTTTCTCGAATTCCTGTCCAATCATTGGGAGAGGAGGGCAGGGTTCTGTCAGAGCTGTAGAGAGACTTACGACACTCCAGTAGACTCCTTTGGAAAGAATGGAATGCGGAAGTTACGTGGTTCATGTAGCTTCGAACATTTCCAAACAGCCCCCGCTGCTGCATTGACCGTAGTTCATTTTCAGTGTTTCGGAAGGATTTTCTCCGGTATGTTGATGAAATGTCATCATTTTGATGCATTGTGAAGTGTTAGCTAACCGCTTTGTAACAAAATAAGCCAACGATGATATTTTATGTTGTCAGTTTTAGCTAGATAACCTTTAATGAGCTAACTATGTGCAGCTTGTTGGTTGTGAGCAGGAGAACTAGCTGTAGACGGGTTTATTTCAGTTTGTTTGATTCTACGTTTTAAAAATATTCCCCACAGTTTGAAATAGGTTATAAACTTTTTACATTATTTGTTTTATTTGGGATTTTTTTGTACAATACGTTGCTGGCTGCTGTATCAACACGAACATGCATCCGAAATGAAAGCACAAATTGAGAGACCAATAATAAAGAAAATGTGATTGTGAAGACAAGTAATTATTTAATATTTTTCAGTTAATAACACTGACTGCAACAAACTGCTGAAGCATGAGACAAACAGGATTACGAACGTAAGAAGATATGTTGTTCTGTTTTGTGGACTCAAGTAATAATAATAAAATTAAGATAATTCAAGAACAGTAGTCGAACATAATAACTTTTAAAAATTAGACATTTTCCATAAAAATACTCATTTCCACTTGCTTTATAATATTAGCATTTGCTATTTTGTTATTAAGTAAGGAATGACAAGAAATAAGAATTAACAATAACATAACTATCAATAAATAAATGTCAAAGAGAAACTAAAACAAAAATCCTATTTAACCATTAAAGGTTAAACTGTGTTGTGTGTCCATCTTCATGTTTTCATAGTGACTGAGCGGAGAGCTGACCAGGAACAACGGTGGTGGCAAAACCCAGTTGGGTCTGAGATGGAGTGATGCACGCCTGGAGTGATTGCCATCTCATCCACAGTAAGCACACACTCTCTTTCCATCTGTCAGATTTTTTACCTTCAAACTGAGCATGTCAGAAACCTCTCCTAACACACCTGGTTCCAGTTAATGGGCTGCATTTGTGTTTGCAGGGTTCTAACATCAGGCAGAGGGATACTCATGTCCTGAAGAAACCTGCAGCCTGTTGAACCCACTGAAAAACTGAGTTGTACGGCCTTTTTGATTGTCTGTTTTCTCCATTTAATGCCTCTTGTGTTTTTCATGCCTTTTTGACTTTCTGTTTCCTCCCTTAGGTTTTCCAGCTGGTTTACCTGGTTGCATCGCCTGTTCCTTTCTCCTGGCCCTGACGCCGGCTCCTCATGGCTTCCTGGGATGTCCCTCTCTCCTGATACCGTCTCATGTCCCCCCTCACTTTCCCTCATCTCATTTGCCTACTGCTGCTGCTGCCTTCCTCATTCTCTGAATTTATAATGACACTGTTAGAATAAAGAATAATTTTAAATAAAAGAAATACAAATGTCTGATATTTCAAAAGATTCGTACCAGTTTACTTGAGTACAATATGTGTGGTCAGTGGATCAACATGCAGTGGTTCTGCTGTACTTCACTGCGGGATCCTTCCTCCTCCTTGGTTCAGGGCGATGAACAAACAGGGTTGGAACAGCATCAGTCCTGAGTCTCACCTTGCCTAGTCTTTGTAAACTGCCTCTCCTCAAAATGTGCCTGTAGAGTGGTGTATTAATTTATTTCCTGACACATTTAACAGTTTAATTGCAGCCTTGTGCAGTTGAGAGCAGAACATGTAGAGCCTTGATAGAAAACATCTGAGAGTGCACATTAAACTCGCTGCACACAGCTTTTTGTTATTGTGATCTCTGGTCATGGTGAGGTTGCTCCTGCTGACTTGAGCCAACCATCTTCTTCTCTCTGCGTCTTTGGGGAAGCCATAATTATGATTCCTCCCTCAGACCGATTGCTATATGCAGCGCAGCCAACCATGGTAAGATAATCAACCTATAAAGGGATTATTAAAATACTATTTTTGTACGTATAGAAATATTGAACTAAACCAAAAATATAGAGATGTAAAATTACATTTTAAAATTTTTATCCAACTCTAAATTTAGTCATTTCAAATTTTAACCCACTGACACATTTTATTTTAATAATAATCAAAATAAAGTTATTCAAGAGTTTCATTAGGTCTTGAGTACATTGCTCATAATTAATGATTCTGCTTATTTGCACATGTGTGATGACTAAACATAATGTTGGTAAAATGCTTTATTAAAAATGCTATTATACATGTTGTACAAGTTTGTATTCATTTTTTCACAATTAACACACACTTTTATTATCTACTGTGTTTGACAGTACAGTTTTATTGAAAATTTCTTTTTAATTATTTGCTATAGAAGCCAGATAAACTGGGTTATAGATGCAAGTAATTTCTTCACATAAAAATATAAAGTAATGACTGCAAAATGTATTCTACTGAACATAATAGATCATCATTCAAACCATAAACAGCTACATATTTTCTTCAAGGTAAGCTGGAGCAGAATTCTAGCTTTCAATAAACACTTTAAAATGGATATTACAACTCGAGTTTAGGGCTTCTTGTAGGACTTAGTTATTAAATATGCTTATATTAGAGCAGTGTGTAGCTTTACTACATCAGATTTATTGCTATAATATATTATAGTAATGTATGTGGTCTAAATGTGTTCTACAGTGTGTTAGGACTGTCATGTTCCTGTAATGTAGAACAGTCATGGGTGTTTGTCTTCCTACAAATGCTCGGAAAAATATAAATAGGCTACTTTGAGAAGGAGTTAGGACATAATATATAATATAATACATAATATTATTCAATAATTACCACAAATCGCCGGGGGAATGTGATTATATTAAATTTTTGTGATTTGTCCCACCATACACGGTTCAAACTGACTTACGGCGCTGGGATGTTTGGAACTGAGAGCTCCATGAACCACGTGACCGCGAGTCGGCGAGTTCAAAGAGTGTCGTAACTCTCTCTTTCTACAGCTCTGACAGAACCCTGCCCTCCTCTCCCAATGATTGGACAGGAATTCGAGAAACGTGATTGGTAGCTAAGACTCGTGCTCTCATTGGTTCCACCCAAGTTCCTCCCACTGACGCTAGAATCAAGACAAAATGATTCGTAACACTGTAGATTTGAGGTTTGTACCTGTAGAATGAAATGTGTGTTTTGAGAGTTTTGATTTCAAACTTGTACATTGATTTTTTTATTTTGGAAGTCTGCTAGGTAAAAACCGAAAGTTTCACGTTTCTGAATGAATGTTTGATGTTACAAAATGAGTAGTAAATGTACAAAATAAAAAATACATGTACAAAATGAAAATTTCCTGTTACAAAACAAGAAATACAAGTACAAATTGAGAATTACAAGTTAGAAAACTAACGTTACAAGTTACGAATCCAAAGTTACATGTCATGAAACATGTTCCAAGAAACAAAACTTGGTACAAGTTACATTGAATATTGTCCCAATCCTAGCTCCATATAACCCAACCCAAAAATGTGTCACTCCCATTAGCGGAATGCACGTTTGCATTTCTTGCTTCGAAGTGTTACAACTTCTGGAATCAACTAACCTGTTTAACATGATTAGGATGACATAACCACGTAAAAGCCATAGATATGCTGTTCTAAAAATCATTAATCCATGTCAATGTGATGGGTTCATAAATATCGTGTTCAGATGAATTTAACACTGAATCTGCTAAACTAACAAACCATCATTTTGGGCTAAACCCGATGAACCAGAATTTAAAAGTCGAAACTGGTTGAGTTTGTTTGGATGAGCAGAAATAAACTGTCAAAGATGTCAAAACTGCCTCTCATTTCCCCAAATTTCTTAGACTATCTCTACTGGATTAGTACGTTCACTAGTCTGCTCCATTGACCTCAGCAGTTTTTCAGCCTCCTTGTGGAAGATCGAAGTACTGCAGGCGATCAGTGCCAGTTGTATTCTGTCATTATTGTTGTAGTAATGTGTACTTATTTTACCCATTTAAACAATTCCAACACCACTGCTTAATTGACATCAGCCTTAATTATACAGTTTTAGATTAAAGATTATTTTGACCAAAGCAACGTGTTAAATTAGCCACTTTAAAAAGAAAAACTGCACAAAGCTCAGAAACACAATGTTAGGATCTATTTTCAGTACCCTGCTTATTGCGACTACTTTGTTAATCTGAAGATCGAGTTAAATTCTGTGTATTAAGTGTGTAACATGTGCAGAGAAAGAAGGACACCGGTCCTGCTGAACAGCCATAGACAGCATGCATGTGAAGCATTTAGAGAGCGCTGGTACACACCGCCCAACACGTGAGACATTTATAGAACGCATGTGTCCTCGCTGGGACACTAGGACAATAGCAGGGACAAAACAACCTTGGTCACAGGTTATTAGTAAAACAGGACGTGAATAATCTGAGTACACCTTCAACAGTGTTGCACTCACCTTGCCCTGGAGATCGACGGGCTGATTGTAGAGCCGTGTGCTGACTACGTCAAAGGGCGTCATGGCCAGCACCACCACCACGCTGCTGATCATTCCAGCACTCAGAGCCACCAACCAGCTGCCTTCTGGGAACACCTGTGAGAAAGCAGAAGCAACAAAACACTCTCACACACACACACCATGATGGACGGCTCTAAATGGAAAGGCTGAGTTCACAGCGTGACCAGAAGACAGCTGGAACAGGTCCAGGGACCTATCATCATTACGGGACCATCACGTCGACAGGGGATGCTAACTTTAACTCTGCCCTGAAATGCAGCGAAACAGAGGAGTGTTTCTTTTCTTAACACTCATGTTGCACAGTCCCTCTGGACACGTGTAATTATCTGCTGCTGAGCAAATTTAAACTCTTTTCTTAAGGTAACAAACTAGTAAATTTATGCTAAATAAGCATACATGTTGATAGTTAAAGCAAAAATAAAGAAGCTGTTTCATGTAAATTAGCAGATTATAAAAGGAAGCCGTGTTTGGTGGGTTGTGGGAGGGCACCCTCAGTCCCACCTCCCCCCTCACACATCCAGTTACAACACAGCTCTTCTGGCAAGTGAAGGAAAAAATGTCATGAATGTCTGCATCGTTTAAATGTAAACATAAAGCTCTTCAACGGCCCTTCTGAGGGATGCAAACCAGTGTTTGGACACAAACATCCACCCCCTGATACAAAATGTTTCCAGTCAGTGGGGCCAGTGAGAGACGAGGGTTTCTGTTCCAGGGGATGTGCTGCTACAAAAGGTTTTTGTCTCCTTTGCACAAACACTGACTACTAATCATCTCCTCTTTAGCACCACTACATCCCATGATTTGTGCAGTTCAATCAAACACTTCAGTTTACCCTTGAGCTGTGATGTAATGTTGAAATCATACACATATGCATACTGCTGACGTCAGAACCGAGCTTTAGGAAGACTCCAACCTGCAGGTCGACCACAAGCTCCTTGGAGGAGGAGAAGGTGGAGAGCTGAGTTGCAGACCCCACGCTGACCCTTGGTACCGCAGCACTGGACCCCCTCCACAGTCCCAGAACCCCGTGCTGCCTGTAGATGGCCTTCAGAGCATGGATCATCCCCTGTCAGGAGGAGGAAGATGAGGGAACTGCTGAATGTCTCTTCTCATGCTGTTACATTCAGTTATTAGGTTACCTCGTGCTTATACTGATGCCCAACGGCTATAGAGGAGGTAGACTGACTCTGCAGGTGAGTCTTCACCTGTACACACAGATTAGGATTATCCACACTAGCAGCTCATGTTGACAGCGTCAACAATAAACAGCAAGAGAAGCCGTTACTCACCAGGTAGACAGGGCTGCCCATGACAGCGCCCACCACTCCAGCCAGAGCCCCCGCCACCGTGGTCTTCAGCGCGCTGACCCGTCCGTCAGTGTGGATGTGACCGGCAGACTCAATGATGGCGTACGAGCCGAGCCGGACTCCATTCATAACAAACTGGTAGAACAGACCGGGGACCAGCCCTTTCTGCAGGCCGGTCAGTCCGTCCACTTTACCGATGGTGTAAAACGCGTGGAAAACGTTACGGTAGTAGACCTGATAGGTGCCGCGGCTCCGGAGCTCTCCTTGGAGTTGCATCCGAGTTTTGACGACCTCCAGCGGGTTGGTGAACAGACACGCTCCGCAGGCGGCTCCTCCGCCCAAAATGAAGTCCATCACTGCGGTTGGTCCGTCCAACAGGGGGAGGACGGGAGAGGAGATCAGGCCCGCTGGGAAAGATTTATCTCCTTCATGACGGCGGCTTTAAACTCAGCTAAGATTCATACACCATCACGCTGGGAACCATCACTGATACTGGAGAGAGTTCTAGTGCGCACGCGCCAATGTGACGCCTTCACGTGCGGTTGGAATTCAGAAATGCAAGGATAGACGTTGGTGTGTCACAGATTTTGTAACAAAATATATTTATTTTATATTACATATTAATAACTTTTAATTAATTAGTAATGGCATTCTTCTAAACTAATCCACGGTGGATTTAACTTCACCCTGTAGCCGCTAGAGGGCGTATAATCTGACATGTGCTGTAAAATCATACGTCCTCTGTCGGCTACAGAGTGAAACTAACCTACGGTAGATATGAGGAATTTTATTCTTCATAAATTCTAATAAGTTATTAAAAGGAAAGTTAAAAAGAATATATTTAGATATAAATTCTTACCAGCATAAGTTTATAATTTCAGATATCACATATACAACTATTGATTTTATTTCAAAGACCAATCAAAATTAACACATTGATTGATTCATTTATAAAAAGGTACACATGTTTAGCCACATGCTGTCCTTCAACCGCTGGTTGTCTAGGTGGTGTCCTGTAAACAACGTGGGCTACATTGATAATTGGAAAACTTTTTGGGGAAAACCTGGTCTGATGCGGAGAGACAGCATCCATCCCTCTTTGGATGGAGCAGCTCTTCTTTCTAGGAACATGGCCAGTTTTATTAGTCCTCCATGACAACCCAGGGTCCAGACCAGGAAGCAGAGTCGTAGTTTAACCCACCCCTCTGCAGCTTCTGTACTGGCTACCTGTTAAATTCAGAATAGATTTTAAGATCCTTCTTCTCACATATAAAGCTCTTAATAATCAAGCTCCATCATGCATCAGTGATCTGATTGTTCCATACGTTCCTAACCGAGCACTTCGCTCTCACACGGCAGGTTTACTGGTGGTTCGCTGAATATCTAAAATTAGGATGGGAGGCAGATCTTTTAGTTATCAGGCTCCTCTCCTGTGGAACCAGCTCTCAGCTTTAGTCCGTGAGGCAGACACCTTGTCTACTTTTAAGATTAGGCTTAAAATATTTTTATTTGATAGGGCCTATGGTTAAAATCTGATGTTAGCCTAAATCTGGACAAGTGGGGGAGTAGAGGGAGGTGGAGAGTACAGTCGGTAAAGACGGCTCTCCCTTGCCCTGCCTCCAACATGCCTCCATCTAAATAGGATAGGTTATCCCGAGTTATCTCTGTAGTTATGCTGCTATAGGCTTAGACGACTGGAGGATACACTGACCACTTTTCACACTCTACTAGTTTCTTCTACAATCTGCTCTTTAACTGTATTATTTTCTGCAATTTCAGCTGTTAACTTTATTTTCTCTCTAAGTGTTTTTCTCCCCAGAAGAAGCTACAATGATGTTCTGCTGAGCTGTGGTGGCCTCATGGAGGGGGCCATCGTCTAGCACACTGCTGCTAACCACTTAAACATTCTCCCTCTCCTGATAATAACTTGTTGCTTTCCTTGACGTTGGATGTGCTACTGCTAGTCTATCCATTTAATTATAGATGCATTACTTTGTCTTGTGTGTGTGTGTGTGTGTGTGTGTGTGTGTGTGTGTGTGTGTGTGTGTGTGTGTGTGTGTGTGTGTGTGTGTGTGTGTGTGTGTGCGCGCGCACGCCTGCTCTATCTTCTCGATCCCCAGTGAGTCGTGGTGGATGGCTGCTTATACTGAGCCAGGATTCTCTGGAGGTTTCTTCCTGTTAAAAGGGAGTTTTCCTCTCCACTGTCGCTTTATGCTTGCTTAGTATGAGGATTGCTGTAAAGTCACTGACACTAGTCAGTGACTTGATGCAATTTGCTGGGTTCCTTATATAGGAAATATTATTTCTGATTGGCTTAATGAACTGACCTGAATTGGAATGTTTATTATTTGAAGTGCCTTGAGACGACTCTTGTCGTGATTTGGCGCTATATAAATAAAATTGAATTGAACTGAATTTACAAAAATCCACAAACAATATTATAGTATTGTCCTCTCAAAAATCTGAATAATCAATTAATTCAAGAACAAGCCCAATGTTGTTGGATATACGTCTTCCAGACATGAAGCCAGTTGGATTTTCATCAATAATATTGTAAGAGTCCGCCAGCAGGTGTCATGATCACGTCAATTAGAGCACACACACACACACACACACACACACACACACACACACATATATATATATATATATATATATATATATATATATATATATATATATATATATATATATATATATATATACACATCGACCATCTACTTCAGGCTCACAGGTCCCCGGAAGAACGAAAAAATGAATGCAAGTCAATGGGGCTAAAAATGCAATTTTCTAATCTGCTTTGCCTTACACCCTGGATCACACATATGTTGTACTGCAATTTAAATGAAAAGCAATGATGGGTGTTTCGACCATGCCTGTCATGTACTTTGAGATTCATCAGCTTGTAAAAGTAAGTAATTAGCATGACTACACACCAGAAATTGGCACGTCGCACGTCACCACATAATCTCCTCTCCCCTAACGTATCTGCTACTTACCAAATAACCAGATTTATGCTGGTTCGTTCCTCCTGTGGGAAGTTTGCTGAACTTACAACCCTTTTCCTTCAGTTTTCTATAGGTAACAGGACAAACAATTCACTCATAGTATTAAAATTGCAGTTGGAAGGGGAGTGTGGCTGCTCCTATCCGCTGGCGCTTAGCTACGAAATTAAAATCAACCCAGTTACAAGTGGTGAGCCACAAGGCTCTGTCCTGGGTCCCCTTCTTTTTATTCTCTATATTCTCCCCCTGGGAAATATCTTTAGAATTTTATCGCGTCATACCCCTGTCAAAACCCGTGCACGCGCATTGGGTCCACAGCGCGCGTGTGAACGGGACTCGCGAGCGAAAATATACATGGCAGCGCGCGTGTGAACGGGACTCGCGAGCGGAAATATACATGGCGAGAGGTCATTTGTGCACTGAGAGGGAGCAAACTGTGTCTGTGAGCGCACAAGGATGTGCACAAGTGACAAACCTGCGTGCGCGCGTTGTCAACGAGCACACGGCAGAGGAAAACGTGCGCGCGCGGCAGCCTCTGTGCGCGCTCGGCAGCCTCTCTGCGCGCTCGGTTTCTGACTCCTGCTCGCTCGGCTGTAAGGGTTTTGGCACTCTGGAGGCGTGGCCTGTGGCAGATCTTCTCTGTCCTCTGATTGGTTAGTGTACCCCGCACTTTACCCTCTACCTATCTATATAAAAAAGTCTGCTAGTCAAGTAGTTGCTGGCATAGCTCAGTTGGAAGAGCGGGTGACTCTCGCCCCGGAGGATCCAGGTTCGAGGCTGGGCAAGGAAAATGCAGTAGATGTCATGTTAATTTTTCTTAATTTCAGGTATTTTACAGTTGTGACCGTTCAACTGTCATTAAACGTCCGAATGTTTGCTGGGCAGTGTTTTAAAAAGTGCACATAAGCTAGATGGTTTTAACCATATAAAATTACATTTTTTGTGATACTGGAAAAATACATACTGAAATAAAACTACTGATTGAAAACTTTATGACTGTGGTTGTACAATATATGACTCACTAATACACTGCAAACTCCCTTAGAGTGGGGCTTCCAGAGAGAGAGAGAGAGAGAGAGAGAGAGAGAGAGAGAGAGACAGAGAGAGAGAGAGAGAGAGAAAAGTTCTTGCCTCATTAATGAATTGTTTATTTTTTTCAGTATTTAATTGACAAATTATCCTTTCAAATAATTAATTGATGAGTTACATAATTGTCCATTTAGAATTGTTGAATGGACTGAGTCAAGTTTGGTGCACTTTATATATTTCAAAACATGTTTTTTTTTATTTTAATGATGCATATAAATAATTTAAATGTTAATTTAATGAAATATTTCTATTTTTTCATTACCTCACCCTTGTTTTGACAAAAACGGGACCTTGCTGGATAATATCATGGAGAAACTATTTGTTCACAGTACATGGCTCCGTAAGGATCTGTGTACCAAAGGAGGAGATACTCAGAAATCTGTCTGCAGATTGTTACAACCCAGACTGGAAGTGGCGGGCTGTAATAAGAAAGGAGACCAAACAGAGGAGTGGGGGTTCAACAACTGATTTATTTAACAAAAGTAAGGATTTACTAAAGCAAGTTAGTGAACAGAAAATGGCCATCTCAAGGTTTTACTCGGATGTCCCTCAGCAGGGTGCAGCACTGTTGAAGGTCATCTGAATGAAAGCTTGATATGCAGTTTCTTTATGAAAGTGTGTAAATATACAGTGTGGTTGCCGTACATATGTTGAGGTTCTCAGACATCAGGCTTCTTTGCCCAGGCCTTCACTAGTGGGCTATTTTAAAAGTTGGTAAGGAGAAAAACCACAGCATATAGCTGATTGTTTACAAATGCAAGGAGGGGAATAACAATCAAAATGCTTGTGTTCTTGGACCAGATGAATGGAGCGCTCCACATGCACTCAGAGATGTTATGGCTTCTGTTTCTATAACTTTACATGCAGACATTTGAGGTTTGCCAGAAAGGAAAGCTGGCCTGTACACTTTGCAGGGCACAATGTCATCAATGAAGAAACCCCTGTCTACCAAGATGACCATCTCTAGTTGTAGCATTTTCAACACACCAGATTCCCAGGTTGGTCGCTGATAGTTCCAGCATACAGTGCTGAGACAAAGGTCACTGGCCTATGTGGCACAATCCAAATGAGCCTCTTCAGAGTGCAGTTGAACTTGAGGAAAATATATGACTCTGGAAGAGAGGGGAATATGGCCATTGACACCTCAGATCAGTGCAGTCAAGAATTACTGGTGTTTGGGTAGTCCTGAACGTGTTGTGATGCCCCCACCATCTCATTGGGTTTTCATTTGTGTTTAATTGTGTTTTTCTTCTGTTGTAGGCAGCTGGTTAAGCAGCCTTGGAGGCACCTGGGCTCAGGGTGTGGTGCTGCCTACAAAGCCTACTGTTTTTCTGCTTTCACTGGGTCTCTCCTGTGTGGTGGAGAGTCCTCACTGACCATTTTCTGTTCACTAACTTGCTTTAGTAAATCCTTACTTTTGTTAAATAAATCAGTTGTTGAACCCCCACTCC